GTAATAATAATACTTGTTTTAAATCAGAAAAAAAGAAGCACTTGCTAGGTAGACCTAGATGTATAGTGGTTGAGCTCTTGTTACAACTGACATAACTAAATTTTAGTATATTTATGTTGCAATTTTTAAAACGTTACTTTAAAATAATTCCAAAAGAAGCTAAATAATTCATAAATATTTGAAATCCTCTCTTGAAAATTCTGCAAAGTATGATAATTAATATTCATTTCTAGATGAGGTCACATTAATGTTTATATACTTAATTATAAATTTTACTTATAATTCTGCAATATTTCCATATAGAAGTCATCTGTAATGTCATGTTCAAATATTTGATGTGACTTTCCTAATTTATTCATTTATTTACTTAATGAAAGCTAATCTAAGCCTTAGTAAGGCCACACCTAGAATACTGCATCCAGTTTTGATCACCACATTACAAAAAAGATGTTGAGGAAAAAGTGCAAAGAAGAGCAACTAAGATGATTAAAGGCCTGTAGACGAAAACATATGAAGAACGGTTGCAGGGTTTGAGTTTGGCTAGTCTAGAGAAAAGAAGGACGAGGGCGAACAACATAACAGTATTCCTGTACTTGAGAGGTTGCCACAAAGAGGAGGGGGTCAACTTATTTTCCAAAGCGCCAGAAGGCAGGACAGGAACCAATGGATGGAAACTAATCAAGGAGAGAAGCCACCTAGACTTAGGGAGAAACTTTCTGAGGACAATTAACCAGTAGAACAGCTTGCCATAAGAAGTTGTGGGTGCTTCATCACTGGAGGTTTTTAAAAAGGTTTTTAAAATAAAATTCAGTTAAACATTTAAAAGAGTGTTTATACAGAACACTGTATTAGAAAAAGAAAAAAACACCTTTATTACATGAATTTCCTTAAGAAAACAGTCTCTTGTGTGTTATAAACAAACCCCACTGTACAGAATTCATATAGTGCAGTGATATGATTTAAAGGGAAGGCAATATAAATATTTCTTTGGGGAGGAGAAATAAACTGACAGATAATATGTTCAGATAACTCAATCTTATGTGAAAATTATCCTGAGTATATTCAAAACAGAAACACAAATTGAAAAATAGATATAATTCCAGTGATAATCCCTTGATGCATAATTGTTCATTCTTAAAATGAGCAGGATTCCAATGCTATCTTGTTCCAATCTTACTAGTATAAGCCCGTGCATACAAGACGTTGTCAAGAACTGCCTCATGATCTGCATTGAAGCGATCAGCAATGTCACGGAGGCGGTCTGGACGACTGGAATGTTTCTTAGTTAAGGTATCTGATTTTTAATTCAGTTCTCAGATATATTGCCCATATCTCCTAAAATATCTCCTAAAAACTGAGCACTTCCAGTTGCTAATTTTCCCCTTTTAGTAACTATGCTCTTTTGATTGCCAGATGTTACTTGCAAACCAGTGTTGATGCAATGCAAATTTCCAAAACTTACAATCTAAAAATCTATTTGTATTTGACCTCACTTGAAGGACAAATTAAATTCACATTCCATCACATTCCTCCTGTGTTTATGAACTGTCCCCATTTTAGTGACTTCTCCTATATCTCCTACTTCTCAACTCCTAGCATGCAACCTCCAGCCTAGCTTAGGGAAGCAAATTAGTTGACAGGCTGTTTTCACAACTTTGGATTCAACTTGATTGACAACATAAAGATGTTCGCCATGAGCTCCAGACTGAAAACCTCATGGTGAAAGTGCTTGTGTTTGGCAAATTATGAGAACAACATGTATCCAAGTAAGCATTAAGACACATTGCAAAGGAGTGGCAAATGAGAAGATCTCTCCTTGCATGTGGTAAATTTGTTTAATTTGCTTTCACTTTCTTCCCTCTGCACATTAAATGTCTCTTCTGTTTATGTTGTACCATAAGCTCAAATTTAAAATGTATTATTAATACTGTATAGGAAATCCTTTGAAATCCTTTCACCCTGTTCAGTCGACACAATATATTCAGGATACAATGTGTTTTCTGTGTCAATGAAAATAATCTTCCCTCCTGTATATCCATCTGCTCCTGGAAGTTGGGCTGTCACTAAAATGAATAATAATAGTAACAAATTTTCAAATGTCCAAAATCAATTTATTACTGTCAAATCAATGAATGATTTTACATTCAATCCCCCTTTTTCTATCAGCCTCTGTATCAAAAGCTCCATACTATTATGTTAATTAGGTGAGTAAAGATCAAAATGAAAGTGTTTAACTTATTATAAAATCATTTTAGAAGTGGCATTTCTCAGGGTGAAATGGGAACTAATGATGGTCATATAGATTTGTTTTTGTTATTGTATTTTATATTGGCTGTCTATTTGTTTTTTTTTTCTTGTATATTGTATTTTGCCTTAAATTCTGTACAAATAAATATTTGCAGATTAGAAGGGAATGGAAATATTGCTGCAGCCCTGGATGAAGCTGAGAATATTCTAGTGGTCCAGGTACTATTTCCTCCACATCTATCTTGTACAATATAGTAAAATTGAAAAATCTGAGGCTGCCATAAAATGGATGCTATCAGACACAATGGAAGAAGTTTCATCTTCATTTGCTGATCGTTCATCCTCTTCCTTGTCAGATAGAACATATGAAGTATTCTGACTTGATAACATGCCAGCTGCATACATAGTATAATCCAAAGGTGGGTTGCTCCCGGTTTGGCCCGGATCGGGAGAACTGGTACTATGGTGGCAGGAGACTCTGTCCACCCGCCCAGATGCTTCTGCACATGCAGAACATGCGAATGCACCCGAACTGGTAGTAAAAAATTGGCAATCCACCACTGGTATTATCTGCTTAGCCTGGCTGCTCTTCTTTCCACTACCATGGAGATTCTGATAAGAAAGCTTGGAGCCTGTGCATTTAATGTACTACTTCTGTTGCAATGATTTTGGGAAATACCTTCAAGTAGAGGATATTGCTAAGAAACCTGCCCAGAGGAAGACTAGAAGGCAATTCTTATAGTTCTTCCCCTCTGAATATGGTTGTTTAAATATACAGTATAACTAATTTCTTTGTAATGCAGCATCTAGGGACTTGCTTTGATACTAGGGAGTCAGAAAGGCTATGGGGGCTGAAGGCTATGGGGCTGAAGGCAGGATTATTATTTTTCACCAAGTGAAAAACACAATCCACCAGTGAAGAGAAGAAAGCTAATTCTCCATCTAGTTTAATATTTAGAATGTTCATACATCATATATATGTGATTTTAAATGCTATCAACATATTTTTGCATATTGAACATGAAGTTTTGAATATAATTATTATTTGATACATACCACAAAGAGTATGCGAAAGTTGGGTTTTGCCTGTTCGGAATTCTATAAAAACAAAAATTTAAAAATTGTAAAGAAGGGAAGTCAGTCATGCAACAATAGATCAGCTAATTAGTCGAAAGTTTCTTTATTGTTTTCGTTTCAAAGACTAACACAACTACTTCTTTGAAATCATATCAGTTTACTGGCACAAAAGCTCCAGTGTTCAGATGAATTCCCTTTTATAAAGGTTTATATATTGATATAAAAATATTTATATTCTCACATAATGGAAGGATCAATTGTATATCATGATAATATGCAGAACTCCATTATCCAATGAAATTGATATGAAAACCACTCAGAAGAGACACTTCTGTGAGGGAGATATTTTTATAGAAATATGGAGATAGAACTGAAATCTTCTGGAAGGCTGAGGAAGAAGTTAGTATTCAGGAGTGATATAGACAATCCTCCTGATTCACTGGTGTATAAAAAAGAAGATTGCAAGATTCTGTCACTATAGTATAACTTTAGTTGTCCTGTGAAGTTGATTTTCTGGTGTGGCCTACTTAGTGGCTACCTACCTACTATCTACTTGAGGTTCCATTCACTTCAACTAGAAACAACATTTATGCAGTGATACAGATTTCAAATACTTTAAAAATATTTATATATTATTAAGATGGCATTTAGTAATTTTAATAATGGGTTTAAAGCAGATTTCCCAGTTAGGCATGCTAAAGATGCTCTGGAATGACTACCATGGAAATTCAAAACCTGAATATTTTCAGGGAATTCTACCCAGCCTGAATGGTATCACACTAAGAAAACTGATCTAGATATACTACAATCTGATACATTTTACTTACATATATAGTAGGCCCGAAAATACAAAAAAAGGTATAGCTCTTTCCAGTTCAAAAAAGACTATGATTTTAAAATATTGACAAACAAATGAAAATATAGTGCCTGTTCAATATATTTCTAATTCCTATAGCTTTAGGGAATTATTCCCCCATATGTTCACTAACCTCCAAAGGCTTCTGTGATAGCCATGCTTTCAATCCCACCACCTAGGAGTTTACTGGAAAGAAGAAGAAAAAACTTAAAATCATGGAATGTATAGGACTGGGACTGGTCAAGCCAGGAGACAAACAAGAAATTAGTTTGGAATTCCTACATGGGCTCAAGAAAGCAAAGTCTGACACACATCCCTCGAATGCCATTGAACCTTATCTAGTCTCACCCAGATGCAATAGGCTGTTTATAGGCTTGAGAAATAAAACACTTAATTGACTGTTCACATGCAGCTCTGGTTGCTTGTATCTGACTGAATGGGAGCTGATAGAATATCTAGGGTGTTAAATTATCTAGGAATAATGTATTGCTTAAAATGAAAAATACTAAAATGTAACTTTAACAATATCAGGAGATAGTAGTAAAATCAATTATTTACTTCATATATGATATTGCAAAAGATGGAAATATAAAGAAGAGTAATTAATCAAAATATTCTCTTTTGGGTTTTTTTCAGAAGTTTATTTATAAACCAAAGCAACCATTTAAATTTACTAAACTTGTGACCCATTACAATCTAGTGATTGTCAGTTGTTTATAGAATATGCTATATATTAATTTAATTAATTTTAAAATAATTTGTCCCTTAACAAGCACTATTTGGCCCATTCTCTAAAAAAAATTATTTTACCTAATAGAAAGTATAATCTCTGGGATTAGATTACATGTCAGGGGTACTGTTAAATGCTTAATTATGGTACTGCTAAGGCAATAAAGATAGTGTGATGTCTCCTTTGGACAACGACTCCAATGCTTCCTCAGAAGCCAGCTCCAGGGAGAATGAGATAATTCCCTGACCCTGAACTGCCATCAGAAAAGGCTTTGACTGGGGACAGCTTGCAGATCAGTGAAGAAGAGTGGGAGGAACTGTCTGTCATGGTGAATCTCAGAGCACGCAGGGCAGAGAAATGGAGGCCTTGCCCCTCTCGATGGGCTGCACCGGGAGCTATTTAGCATGGCAGGTAGAGGGAGGCATTGCTGAAAGCAATGTGTGTGGGTCGTAGCTACATGCTCGTTCATGTTTCCTGGGGCTCTGAATATCCATAACCCATCAGCTAGCATGGATGTACTTTAAGTTTTACCTGGGGACTTTATGTTCATTTTTGGACTTAATGTTTGAGCAGTTTGCTATTTGTGTTGTGGACTAATTGGCCATTGCCTGGGGAATTAATCTAGGCTTGCGCATGGTTGGCTTCGGTTGGGATGGTTCTAAAGCTGGGTGAAGAGAACTGCTGGGGGAAGACGAATAAAACCCTCCATAAACCACACTGACATGTGAGTGTGAGTGAGTGGGGCAGCATAGATAGTTAGCTGAAATTAATTAAAATCAAAATATTAAAAACTAAATAAAATAAAAACAAAAACTGAATAATAAAATAATAAAAAATAAAAACTTGAGCATGAAGGAAATGAAAAAAGTAGGGGTATGGGGTTGTCAGTTTACTAACTCAAATTCCTGGCTTCCAGTGGTAATATGAAATACCATCTTTCGCTTCTCACTATACTCAAAAGCAGTCAGAAACCCTGGTTCCTGGGAGGGAAAAAATGAAACTATTTAATATGTCTTGACGTTATTTGTCTTTAATATTTGTAAATTGCTTTGTACACTGAACAAATAATACTAGTAGTAAGAGCAAACAATTATATAATACTAATATAAAACTCCAAACTATGTAATAGTGATATTGGTGAACAGGTTGCCCTTGATCTACAACAGTTTTAGTGACTGTTCAAAGTTACAATGGCATTGAAAAAAGTGACTAATGACAGTTTTTCACATTTAATGACCATTGCAGAATCTCTATGGTCATGATTAAAATTCGGATGTTTGACAACTGACTCACATTTATGATGGAAGCAGTGTCCCAGGATCATGTAATCACCTTTTGCAATCTTCCAACATGCCAAGTCATAGGAAAGCCAAATTCACTTAACATCTGTGTTACTAAGTTAACAACTGCAGTGATTCACTTAACAACTGTGGCAAGAAAGGTCATAAAATTGTTTATAATCACTAAATATGTATAGAATTGCATTATCCCAGACACATCCAGTATGCAACTTGGGAGTCCTCCTGGACTCATAACTCCTGTTCAAAGAGTAGATGATATTGTGGCTAGAAGAGCCCTTATGCAACTTAACAACTATGTTGCTAACAACAGAAATTTTGGTCTTAACTGTGGTCATAAGTCAAGGACTAGCTGAAGTTCTGAATATGTTATTCAGTGTAATTTGCATAATATGTAGTGGGGTATATTTCCAAATGTATCTTGAGCAGCTCTTGAATTTAAAAATCTCATTAAAGTAGTTAATGCTTATTTTGTAAAAAGCAATAACTTTTTATAGTTATATTCTGTTTACAAGATCATTTCAGATTCCTGAGCTGAATTAATGAATTTAGATTTACTCTAGGTTTTCACCATTTGTTTACTTTGACTAGACATTGCAAGGCTTGATTCCATGCAGCAAACTATCAAAACATGTGGTAAAGTAAATTAAGGATCTGTATTAGATATGGCAGAATTCCTAACTGAATTGGATTGATTTGTAAGGTGACTGAGGCAGAGCAGGATCTGAGGAAGACTGAATCCAAATTACTTTGAAACAATTAGTTATTGATTTGCAAAATCCAATTTCTTCATAAACTATTTGGTTTAAGAAACATGTTAAATGGGAAGAACAGGAAAAAAATATGATTGCTGGAGGCTATGGGAGCCTGAAGAACAACAGGTTTTGGGTGAACTATGGCAAGACCAAATGACTGAGTACACGGACTAAAAGATGTGAGACTTTGCTTTAGGTTTGGATGGGATGGCACTACCACAGACAGACATGGTCTGCAATTTGTGGGGAGGGTGTCTCCTGGACTCAAGAATCTTCTAGCCATGGCTAAAATACAACTTTGGGTTGTGCATCAGCTGCAGTCTTTCCTGGATTAGGTGTCATTCAAGCCCTAGTCATCTCATGCTTAGACTACTGCAATGTCCTCTATATAGGGCTACCCTTGAAAAGCATTTGAAAGCTTCAACTGGTGCAGAATGGGGCGGTGTGTCCAATCCTTGGGGCCCTTAAAGTGGCCCATGTTACATCACTGTTCTGAGTGTTGCACTGGCTAGTGGTTTGTTACAGGGTGCAATTCAAAGTATTGATTATTACCTATAAAGCCCTGCATGGCAGATTAGCTGAGGAATCATCTCATCCCTATGGGACAGGTCCACCCCACCCATGCCAGCAGTCCACCCCAACAATTAAGGAATTCTGCTACCAAGGTCCAGGAGAAGAGCCTTCTCTGCTGTGGCCCCAGTCCTTTGGAACATTTTGCCCCCTGAGGTTGTATTGTCTCCCACCCTCCTGACTTTCTGTAAGACCCTGAAGACCTGGTTCTGCCTGTTGGCTTGGAACCCTGATAGGGGAATTTCACACTGGAGGTGGTTGATTAATGAATAGTAGTTCCCACCTCCCTCTCATATATTTTCTTCCCTTCTCATTTTTAGTTATAATTTGTATTTTATTGTAATTTTTAATATAAGTCTATATATTTATATATACATTAATGGTTTTAATTTAATATTGTAGGACACCCAGAGTTTCCTTATAGTGAGCTGGATGGAAAACCCATTTTATATTTAAATACATGTATGTATATGTACATACGTACGGTATATGTAAATACATATGTATATGTATAATACAATGCAAGACAGTGTCAAATCTTAGTGTTTTTTGCTAGTTTTCTGAGGAGGGAGAAAAGAGAAAATAAAAAAGAGAAAATAAAAATAAAAACAAAACCAGAATGTAGAATGTAGAATGAAATACTTGCCTAGAAAATGTGGTATATTTAAGTTTAGTGAATCACATACACTAAAGTTGAGGACTACCTATACATTCTCAGGTTTCCTATAGGAAATAACGATAAAGGAAATCTAGTGGGATTATTTTTTCTTACTATAAGTTTGTTGGCTGCTTCTTTTATCTTCTCTACTTTGGCTTCCGAAAGTCCCTTCACATTACATAATGCCCGCTTAGTTGTCATCTGAATCCCCTTGATTGTGCAAATTCCTACTGATTTCAGTTTCTTAATGTCTGCTACATTCTATGAAGGAAGTAAACATGTTTCCTTTACAATATTCATTTATGTCAAGTATTCTTTCTCACGCCAGCCATTCTCTCTCACACTTTCATAAAAATACAGATAAAATACACATATGCACAATCTTCTCCTTTTAGCACAGATAGAAAAAAGGTATTAGAATAAATATAAGTGTAAATAATAAAAGACAGAAAGATAGAATTATGTTTAAGTGTATCAAAAGAGTTTAAATCCATTGAGAAAACATCTATTTTTACTGTTGTTATAGTATTGTAATTTAATCCCTGAATGTACTTACAATTCCATGCTTCTGTAACAGATCAATGTCCTGGAAAAATGATTCCTGCAACATGAGAACAGAATATTGGTTATTATATTTATTTACTTATTTATATTCATACTTTTAAACTGTCCATCTCCCCGAAGACAGGATATAACCAATAAATAAAACCTTGTATAAAAATGTAAATTATGTTTAAAATGTTTGAAATTATAGAATGATAAACACCAAAAAGAGGAAAAGAAAAATCCTAAAATAGCCATCCCAAGATGGTTATCATAGGTATGTGAGAGGATTTATCATGTGACTAGCTAGCCCCCACAGTCAAGGCTACAAGATACTGGGGGGGGGGGAGTGCTTTCCTCACTTCTGGGGAAAGGATGTTCTATAAAGCGGGGGCAAGAAGACTCTCTTTCTAGACCCCACCAATCAAAATTCTTTGACTGACAGAGCCTGGAGTGTATCTTCTCTGCCTGATAGGTAATTTGATACTTTATAAGTGATGACTGACACCTGAATTGGACCCAGAAGAAAATTGGTATCCAATGCAGTTCATGGAGCAAGGGTGTTATATAGTATGTGTCCTCCTTTGGGCACCCAATTTGGCCCGTATAGCCACACTCTGCACCAGTGAAACTTCCAAATACTCTTCAGAAATAGACCCATGTAGAGGACATTGCAGTATCCAATCGGGAGATGACCAGGACATAAGTGACTGAACATAGAGCTTTCCTGTCCAAGAAAGGGCTGGTGCACAATGTGGAGTTGGGCAAAGGGCCTCCTGGCCATGGCTGCCACCTACTTTTGAGCAGGAGTCATGAGTCCAAGAAGACCCTCAAATTATGCACCGGGTCTGACTCGGGCAATGACCAGATATGATGAACTCCTAGGAACAGAAGAGACCATCCACTATCTTACGGTACAGTTAAAGTTTGTTGTTACCTAGCCAGACCTCCACAGCATCCAGGCATTGTGAAAGGACATCCACTACAGAACTCATTTAATCAGGAATGGCCAATGGAGGTATATAATTTGGTAACACCAGCATATTAGTAATATCTCATTCCATGGAGATGGATGATCTCACCCAGTCATCTCATGTAGATGTTGAAAAGGAGCACCAAGCCCTGTAGCACACCACAAAGGGGCCATGAGCTGGACTTTTCATTTCCTATCAACACCAGTTGGGACTGGCATTGGAGGGAGGGGAAACAGCACAAAACTGTGCCGCCTAACCTAACTCCTCAAGATGGCCCAAAAGGACACCATGGTCAAAGGTATTG